CTAGTTAATCCCCGTTGGATGGAAATTGTCCACTTGACCAGATTTTCCTGTTTATTTGTATTGTGATAGCATCCATATTTTATGAAAAGAATTTGCTTACTATATTACAAGGAAAACTTGGGATTTGGTTCTTTTTGTTTGCAATCAATTGGTATATAACTGATAGTTATGGATATCATGATCTTGTGGGAAAATGCCTTCGGGTTTTAGCAATTTAGCTTACTAAATTCAGCTTTTGTTCTTGGCATCTGATGTATTGCTTTTCATATAACACTGACAGTTCGTTAATTTACTCTATTTTGTGAATCAAATAGGTTGTTTGAAGCTCCTACCTCCTGAAGAACTTGAGCATTTAGTAATTCCCATGGGCAAAGAATCTGGTAATCCTATGAAGAAAATGGCATACATGACAGAGTCTGACACACCTGTTTTAGAAGGGAACTTTAACCTATCTAGACAGCATTTTGTTGGCACAAGGTTTAATTTGTTCACAGGATACCAAACTCTCGAACAAAGAAAGCAAAGTTTTAAGGTAATAAGCTACATCTTGCTGTTCTCTGTTTAAGTCTTAACACAAGATAGTTCATTTCATCTGCTCCAGAAGCAGATTTCTTTGCTCGATCAATAATTGAAACAATTAGAGCATCGTCCACACTCCTGCCTGTTTGCCTACATATATGATGGTTGCTATCCTGCTGCATTGAAACTTTATTAAGTTTCCAAATTAACTTTGTAGGCAACCGAAACTGCTGGAATCCACTGTGGTTTCTATGGTGAGAATGGAGGGTTTAGGATTTCTGATGAAGACAAAAGCTACATGTTGACTTGCAAAGTAGTGGTTTCTACCTGCGCATTTGGTGGTGGAGATGATCTTTATCAACCTATAGGAATATCAGAGACTTCACTTCAGAAGGTTATATCTTCTATGATGCAAAATGCCATCAATTATGTTTTTATTTATTTTATTTTACTCGAGCACGTGCTTATGGTAGTAAAATTAATGCAGGTTTGCTATGTGGCATTTTGGGATGACATTACCCTTGCCACTCAGGAAGAACAGGGGCATAAAGTTGGTAAACACCATTTTATGGGAAAGTGGCGCATTGTAATTGTCAAAGATCTACCTTTTACAGATCAAAGACTGAATGGTAAAATCCCCAAGGTATGGAACTATTTGGTTTCTTGACTGCTCCTGAAAATTTGTTTGGATAAAGGCAGTCCAGTACAACTAATCCTATGCCAAAATTGGTAGGGAGAGTTTCTTGGCCAATGCATACATTGAAATACATTAAAAATATAATCATTATTCAAATTCAGTGTACCATTTATGTTGTGCCTTCATCTGCACAAGACAAGCTGCAGCAAATCGCTAATGTGGACAATTCTTTATCTTTATGTGGAAGCAATGATTATATCTGATTAAGCATTAATGTATTGAATGGTGAAAACTAGCTACTTTTGCTTTTGCATCCTTGAGACCCATTCTGTCAAGATTTGACTTTACTATTATTTTTTAATTTTCAAAATATCTTAAAGAAAACAGTGGAGGTTCTTAGAGACATGGCAGATATTATTTTAATGTTCTTAAGAGCAACATTTCGCCAATCTTAAAAAATGTAAAAGTTATTTTTGAGAAACTTTTTGTTTCCAAAAATGTTTGAGCGTGGTTCATTTTCTTACTTCAAGTAAAAAGGTTCCTTGTTCAAAAGTAACTCCTTATCTTATTGTCAAAATAAGTAAGTTACTATTTTCTATGTTTAACCAATAAAAAGTTATCTTATATGGTTTCATATGTTCTGATATATGTCTCTTGTGGCGTGACAATTTTATGTTGATTTTCATCAGATGCTAGCCCATCGTCTTTTTGTTAATTCTA